CTGAATAGGGAGAATTACTTGTCAAGAAGTCAGTATAATTCTCTCTGTTTTTTTTCAAGAAAAATCGATGAGATTCTAATGATTTCACAGCTCAAAAATTATTTAGAACATCTCCAATGGCATGTTAGAACTCGATTTTACCCATTAACATGGTCGATTTTGCGCAAAAAAAAAAAAAAAAAAAAAAAAAAAAGCTCAAAGAGCAAACAAGTTAGGATTTGGGTAGACAGATTGCAATTTGTTTTAGGCATTTTCCATCCTCTTTTATTGTTTCCCATCATTGCCACAGGTAGGGGAAAATTAGAGAGGTGTTCTTCAAGTTTGGTGAGGTCTTAAGGTTTGGGTATGGCTAGAGGTGTCGATTTTCTGTATGAGAATGGTGGAACGGGTTCTTCAAGCTAGAACAGGTCGCTCCTTTAGGTGTGAAAGAAGGAGCTGCTTGTTTGTTTGTTTTACTTTTTTCAAATCTTTTAAATATAGTCCTCTTGGTTAGGGGTTTTTGTACTCCTAAGTTGGATAGAATTAATCCTAAAATAAAATTAGGTTCAATTTAACCTAGTTAGGATAGTTAGAAAATTTTGTTCTTTTTCTTGTTTTTCTTTTCTCTTTTTCTTGAACTCTTTTTTTTTTCACTCATTTTCTTTTTCGATTATTTTTATGCACTCGCTTTTTCTTTCTACTAATTTTTTACATTCAGTGATTTTTTTTTCAAAAATAAAAAAAATATAAAACTCACAAAAGGCTTAAAATTTTGAAAAGAATAAGAAGATAAATTGAGAAAAATATTTAATTTTTTATAATTTGGATTTTTTTTTTGAAAAATTTTAAAAAATAAGAGGTTTGAAATCAATTGATGATAATATTTAGGGATGCCTTTACTTAAGAGGAGGGTAAATATGGCTACACATGAGCATGTTATTGATAAAATCGATTAGAGATTACTGGTATGACAAGCAAGATATACTTCATTAGTTGACATGATTATTCTTACCCAATTTGGTTTATAAGCTATTCTTATGTATAGTATATAAACTAATAGATTACTTATTGCTACTGTTGAAATCGTTGAGAGGCATTGTTGAATCTTTCTATGGGATACATCCGAGAAACATTATGAAGTTCATATGGTTTCTTAGCATGCTATAAGTCAACCCAAGCTTACGCTGGTTTTGGTTTAAGAAGAATACAAGAGATTAATAATTCCTTTCTCGTAAAAAATTAGATGGAATGCTTTCTAGAAATCTAGTCTTTGGATTAGAGTTCTTTACGAAAAATACAAGATTTTCTCATCCGGCTCCTTCCACCATTCTCCATGCTAGTGCTTCGATTACGAGTTGGAATGAGGTTTGTTAAGGAATTAGTTGGTCTATTGGGGATAGTCTTCGAGCTAGATTTTGGATTGATTTTTGTCTTTGTAATTTGTAATCTATATGTGATTATGCCATTCATTCTATTCTTGAAGGCACATGGTACTCATGTGTTAAGGATTTTATTACCGCTTCGGTTAATAGTTGTGGGATAAGTTTAATGGATTACTTTTTACTTTTATTTGTTTATAGATTGCTAGAATTCTTCATCTTAAAGTGAAGTAGACAATGACAAATCTTGTTGTGATCTATCGGTAATGATGCTTTTACAACTAAATCTACCTATGTGGTACTTATGCAATCTCATATAAGTGATGTTAATGACAAATGGTCATTGGTTTTGAATTATAATAGTCCTTAAAGGATAAGATCATTTTTATGGTTAGCCATTTATGGTAAGTTGCTCACTAATGAGTAGAGGGGTCATAGAATTTAATTAATGACTTCACTTTTTGTTCGTTGTAGAGCTTTTTTAGAATCAATCCTTCATGTTCTAAGAGATTGCTTGCATGCTAAATCAGCTTTAGCCATGTGTGGTGCTTCTTAGGTGTTTTAGAAATTTTTTGGGCTCAATCTAAAAGAATGGTTTTGGATTAATTAAGAATGGTTTTGGCTCTTATTTTTGGCTTTTATGGTTTTGCATAGCAACATTTTTTTTTTTTATTTATGTTTCCTACTAATTCGATTGGTGATGTCAAACTCTTTGACTTCTCAAATTACTACTAATGTTGAGATGATCTTTGCTCTTGCTAAATTAATTTACATGAAACACGAAGTTTTTATTAGTTGGTAGATACCCTCTAGGAGTTGGGGGTTAAATTAAACACAAATGAAAAGTTCTACTGGCATATCTACTACTAGTGGTGTTTTATGTGATGATTCAGACATTTGGATTCAAGGCTCTTCTAATCATATTGGAATTTTTGTTTTATTGTGCTGAACTTTAGAATATCTTTGTTGGGTTAAAGATGACATTGTATTTTGGTTATATACAAATGCTACTTGAAGTTGACTCTAAATTGATCATTTAGTTTTTAACTTCTTAAGGTGATAGTCATGGTAATTATAACCAACTGGTTTACACCATTTGTGATATCTTTTAACTATCATGGCAAGTTTAGATTTCACGTGCTTACAAAGAAATCAATCGTATTGTAGATTGATTTTTCTTTCATACCAACTTGTTTTGTAAAGAATTTTCTACTAATTAGATGCTTTTTAAAATTGTGTTAGTCTCTTATTAGAAGATATTTGAAGAATTGTGACTCTCAATATTGTAAATACACTAATTGCATGTTATTGCAGCTTACATAGTGTGTTGTCCCTACAAATTACGTCACTTTCTTTCTTTAAATTCTAATTGCATCATCTTATCCAAACATTTATAATGTTTTGAGATGGCTTGTTTTTATTAGGCACCTAGAAAATTTGTCGTTTACATATTCGTCGGGCATTGTGTAAGCGCTTGCACGCAATTGCACACACATATATAATCATAATCAAATGGAGAACATAGAGACCCAGGTCTCCTTCCTTCCTAAATTATTGCTTACTCTAAACAAAGTGATGGGTTTCAACTGCTTCTCTTTTCTCGAACAAGATTGAATTAGTAGTCACATCAATTGAAGGTTAAATCATCATATTTATCTAACATTGTGTCTTTATTCTTCTTCTTTCCCATAATACAAAAATTTTCAAATGAGTTTCCGCACATCAAAAATAAATCTTTTTGATCAAATCTTAACTAGTAAAAATTATTTTCTTATAGTCTTTCATAAGAAGCTAATCCTGAATTATAACATGCAGAGTTTTCTTATATACCAACTGCTAGACTAAACTATTAAAAAAAAAAAATATACTTTTACTCTTTATTACATACATAATGAGGCAATACTGTCTCTTTTTTTCATGTTTTAAATATGACAATGGCTCTGTCTAAAAAATTAAAATAGGGTAAACCTTCGTAAGTAGATTCACAACGTTCTACTTCAGCCTATTTAGCTTAGAATTTCTCTACATCAATTTTGAGATTTTCATAAAGTTTCGATGTGAACCTTTATTATTAGATTAGCTAGCAATAACTAACGGGGACTGATTTTTATTTTTTATTTTTTATTTTTAAATACCTAAACATGGAACGCTGCATTACATTAATGAGGCATAATACATCTAAAGTTTTGGTACGAAAAGTAAAAAGAAAAGCAAGAAAAGGTGAAAAAAAGGAAGAAGTTGGAAGTGTGTTTTTCCGTTATATGATTTAATAACTAAAAGCTATATTGAAATTTATCCTCTTATCTTAGCCCGAAAGAAATATGGTTGTTTAAACAAATGTTTTCAGATTCGAGTATTTATACATATAAATTTTTTTTGGATAGTTGTATCGATTTTGTGTGTTTGATTGAACAATGATAAATTAGTAAGTTTTAAGATTTGAAATACAAGGATCTAAAAAAAAAAAAAGAGGGTTATTTTGAAATTTGTGAAAAATCATGAAGTTAGCATTGGAAACTTTTAATCTACATAAGTCAAAGTAGAAGCTAAATAAACATGGACTAAAATATAGCTTATCCATTAAAATATGATGGAGGAGGCACCGCATGACTTCACGGCAAAACCCAGCAATTAAAAATAACAAAACAAATAAAGATTCAACAATTAGTTGCTACATATGAGTTCACTGATTCATAGTTTAGATTTTTTTTTAAAAAAAAACCCAAAAATAGTGAATTATAAATGAGTGTATTCAATTTTGAAAAATAAATTAATTAGTCTTTTATATTTCAAAAATTAATTCTTGAATTTTTTAACTAATATTGACCATGCTTAATTTATTATTATTTTAGTTTAGAAATTTTCTTCTTTTTCCATCAATTTTTTTCTAATATCTAATTATTTTATTTCTTTATTTAAAAAACGAGTTAATTAGTTTTTTATTTAAAAACTAATAATTTAGTCTTTTTTCGTCTACTTTCTAATTTATTTTTTTTACATTTTATTTTATTATTAAAAAATGAAATAAATTAGAAAAGAACCTAAAATGGATAAAAAAGGATTAAATTATTAATTTTTAAATAGAAACTAATTAATTTATTTTTAAAAATCAAAGAGAATAATTTATAATTTAGTCCCAAACATACATACGAGAAAAAGGTTCATCAACTTAGCTGGTATCACACGAGAGAAGGTCAAGAAAAAGAGAATGGAAAGAAATTGTAAAAGACCAACACTTTCTGCGCTCAATTTTCACACGTGTCGTCTACCTATAAATGAAGGCGACAAGTCGTTTAACATGATTAAGTTCCACAAGAGAAGTCGTTCTGGACTTCACTCACCTTTGCAGCTGACATTTCTCCTCTCTCTTCCATTTCCACCCCTTTCTGAATCATAAAAATCATCCCCTTTACCATGCAAAACTGAGAATTGAACAGGAAATTCAATTATTTCTTCACTATAAAGGTAATAAGTTTCAAAATTTGAATTCAAAAGCAAAGCTTTTTAGCTCTAAATACTAGTAAAGATCATTACTTTGCATTCCAATTCCTCAAATAAATGGAACTCGATTACGATTTTGGTATCATATTCTCATTACTGACATTCATTCTTTTGAAGGGTCTTCTCATTTTTTGAGTAGCAATGGTTTTCTTCTGCTGGGCTAAGCCATCACTTCAAGAACAGAAGGATTGTCTAAACAAGTAAAATGAAACTGACCCTTTAAGATTGAATGTTTTAAGTCTACATGTCTGTATTTGTTTAAGTATAGTTGGTACTTAAATTGCTTATTACCAGGTCAAGTGGCTTTAATTATGATTCTAAGTATAGGGGAGCTTCTGCTAAGCCTGCTTCTTCTCTCAAAGAAGACAACGAGCTTTCAAAAGATGGTTTCTTGATTAACCATGCTCGTGTTTTAGTTGGTTCTGGTCTTGGTACTTATGAGAAGGGCAGGTTGGCTCTTGAAAATTGGAGGTCCGTGTGGATTTTTTTTTTCTTTTTTTTCGTGAGTGAGAAATGTTAATGGTGGGGCATGATAATTTTTTGTTGAATTTGATTACAGGCATTTTGCGTTTGATTGGGGATTTGTTGATCCGAAGACTTCAATTCAAAGTGGGGTGAAATTTTGTGTTTGCGTCAAGGAGTTTTTGCCTTGGGTTATGATGCCTCTTCAGGTTATTTATGTGAATGAAAGTAGGAATTCTAAGAAGGATGTGGCTTCGTTTTGTTTCAGTGGTGGTACCCTTCAAGGTCACTTGCTGGTTAGTCATTCCCTAATACAAGTTTAATTTCAGAGATTTAGGCATGTTTAGATTCTTTGCTGATGTTGAAATTCGATGACTTAACCTTGTTAGTCACCTTGTCGATATAAAGGTTAGGAATTAGGAATTTGGTATTTTGTTGCATCATTTCATTCGATTCAGACATCATGCTTGCAATGTTGATGTAGCTTAAATATCTTGATGTGGGTAAAATCAATTGAACAACTCATTAAATATCTTGATGTGGCATAGCAACCACGAATCCATCATGCTTTTTTGGCTATGGATTGGCCACACATCCTGCTGCACAATGTTGATGTAGCTTATGTGTTTTGTCTGTTGAGTTTTGAGTCATTTATAGGACATGACATTTATGTGGAGAGACTGTTATCTTTTCGTTTTTCCTGCTGACTCCTTTTTCTGATGAATGAAGAGATGCTTGAAAGGTATTTGCAGTTTTTGTTTCACGCCTGCTAAGCCCACTTTGGCATGTATAAACACAGGCTGTTACTAATGTGCCCCTTTATTTTACTGGAAAACAGGCTGGGGAAGAGCGTTTTTCAATTGAAATGGATGAGAAGAATCAAGTGTGGTACGAGATACTTTCCTTCTCAAAGCCTGCTCACTTTCTGTCATTTATCGGGTATCCATATGTTCAACTTAGGCAAAAGTTCTTTGTTCATCAGTCTAGCAAGGCCGTTATAAAACATGTGACTGCTTCGTAATTCTGTTCTTTTTAAACTTGAATCCCAGCAGTGAGTGATTGTCTTCACCTCATAAATTGTTCTATTCTAGCAAACAAACTGCTTAAGTGTTGATTGCTGTGGAAGGTCCTTTTCCTTCCACAGCGATGAAATATACCATTGGTTATAAAAAGAGCATATAATCCAAGTTTTTGACTTAAAAAGAGGAAAAAATATAAAAAGAAAAGATATAAAAATCTGCAAAACTAACTTTTGAATTGTCTTTAACCAAACTACAATCTATGCTTTACGTCAACTAATATGCATGAAGAAGGGATGGTGCTTAAAACCTATAATTAATTTGCGTAAAGAAGAAAGAAGTACTCATGCTGCAACCATCTCTTAATTGCTGATGAATTTGTTAAATCTTATCAACTTGGATGGCAAACCTCCATCTTCTATGTTAGTTCCCAAAAAGGCTTCTTTAACAGCTCCCCTTTAAAGGTGAAGTTCAGAAAATTACTCTAGAAGAGACAGATAAAAGGATTAATAAATCTGAAAGAAAAAAAATTTCATGGTCATGAATTTAAAAAAAAAAAAAAAGAAAAAGACGAAGAAAGAAAAGAAAAAGAGACTATTATTCTTGTCTAAGTAGTATAATAGCATTCTGGAATGAATATACTCTTGATCTAAGTAGTTCAAGATGTTTGAGAGCAGCGCAATGTTTCGTGAATCTGGAGAAGAGAAACCAAAGCTGCAGAAAATGTTTTGAAATCAGTAAGAAAAAGACACAACTTCTGGAGTTACAGTTCTGAGTTTGCAGAAAAATTACTTAGGATTATAGGAATGGTACAGGTTTTGTGCATAAAACAGAGCAAAAACAGGGGGCTTTCCTAGATGGCTTGAAGCAAGGCCTTGTTTGAATCAAAATTAAATTCTTGTAAGTAGAAAGCTCAAGCGAATTTCAATATTATTCTTGTCTATACTGTGGGAGGAAAAAGTATGAAATGTTGTCAGATTTGCGTAATCTGTTCTAATTGCTCTGGAGATACCTTTACTAACATTTTCTGTAAGCTATTATTGTCATGATACATTGACAAGAATAGTTAACAAATACATTGCTCATCCAGATGAAGATGAATTTGGCTTAACCCAAGTTGGTGGTGGCCAAAGCATCTTTGAATGGCCAGGAAAAGGTGATAGTTGCCCAATACTTTGGGTCCTCCAGTTCGAACACACCTGTGTTATGACCAACGTAATGCTTTCACAGCCTCATCACCATCCTCATAACGTAAATAATAATATCTTCCTATAAAATAAATAGAATTTCTTCTGCATCCGACGAAGTCTTCAGCCGAAACAATGAATGAACAATCATCACCCACAAATATCATCCGATCATCCAAGCTTTTCACCTCTACCCATGTTTTAGTCTCTTGATCAAGTTTATAAGCCTTAAAATCAACCAACACATCATAAAATTCATTTTTGAAGTAATAAAATCCCTCATTCTCAGCGTAATATTATGCTCCACGATCTCTATCCAAGTATTCTTCGACCAGATATGGATCTCGAGATGTTTCTACTATTCGCTTTGGGCTACCCCGACTATAAATCTGACTGGAAACTTTAGTCATCTCCAAGGATGAATGATCGATCACAGATACAGCTTTCCATGTGTTAACAACATGAAATTGTCCCTTATAAACCATAATGTCAGTATGGTAAGGGTAATCATATTTGCCCTTTACAAGTCCTATCCCTCTTCACCGTATTTACTCATGGCTAAGAAACCTCCATTATAAATAATAAGAATAACACATTCTTGTATTCTAGTCCATGGATAATTTGGGTACAAAATCAATTTATTAACACCTGCCATTAAACTGCCGCCCACATATCGAAGTCGATATGCTTTACTTACTAAGAAAATATTCATATCCGTATTTGTTGAAAGTTGATATATTTATATGATTGCAATCCTTATATGTGTCATTATGCTTCACTTAAAAAATTATTCGATCAAGAACTTGTTTTCAATAAAATGATTCCGACCAACAGCTAACGGCCACCGTGGTCGTGTAAAGCCCTCGAAATCAGTACAGACGAATAGCTTGAGCAAAGAAGATGCTTTCTACCCACTTGCTAGACAAAAAGAATTTTCATTCAATAAAGGCATGGCTTCTAGATTACTCATATTAAATTATCACTAATTATAACTACATATGTCATTAGACAACGACCATGGTTTAAAAGGGTCACAAATCCTTTGTTAGGCGTCAATAACTATTGAATTTAGGGTAAAAAAAAAAAAAAAAACATTCTACCCTTACCCCATGTAAGTTGTTTGTTATCACTCAATTTTGACTCCTTTTATTTTTACATAAAATGTCTAAAAGATGAAATTTTTTTATTTGTTTACTTGATTTTACACATTTTACTCCTGTATTGTTGGGATTTTAGGAAGCCCATAATTTTGATTTAAAAAAAATACACAAAAAGAGGAAAAGAAATGAAATAAATGAAGAGAAGAAAAAGAGAGAAAAATAAACAAAAGAAGAAAAAGAGAGAAAAAAATAAGAAAAAAAAAGAGAGAAAAAAATAAAAAGAAAAAAATAAGTTGGAAATTGAGAATTTTGGACCCAATTGATTAAAAGTTGAAAATTAGACCAAGAAATAATTGAATTTTGGGTTCAATTAAAAAACTTACCATTTGAAAATACAATGAAAGAAAGAAGGAAGAGGTAAGATGTAAAATATGAGAAAAGAGGAAAAAGATAGGGACAATGTAAAAATTTTCAAAACCCTAACTAACCATCATTAGGAAAACATCACTTTCTCTCTCACAAAAAAGGAGAGAAGGTCATTCATCTTTTCTTTGAGAGAAAGGAACCCGGAGAGAAGGGAAAACCCTCTCTATTGATCTCTCCCAAAAACACCACCATCAACCACCAAACCAAACCTCCCACTCATCATCCATGGCCACAATCGACTAAGTCATACAAAACCTCCAAAAAACCTCCTTAAGTCAGTCGGCCAAGAACTAAGAGAAAATCTCAAAAAGTTGTCGACCAAGCTCTTATCTATTCAACCGTCGTCGTTGTAACGTCCAACGAGCTCCTAAGCCACCCAAAAAGCCACTCCTCCATCCAAAACCACCATTGTCTAGTAGCTCTAGCAATGGCCGGCGAGCTCTCAACAGACCTCAAAACTAACTAGCGACCCACTAAACCTAGATAGATTTACGATTGGCATATTGACTTTCGGAAGAAGATCTTGGAATTTCATATTCTTAAAGATCCAAAACGAGAAAAAGGACATTCTAGAGATTTGAAGTAGAAATTTGAAGATTTCTAGATTGCTCTTAAACATAGAAATACATTATGGTTTGGACTACCAAAGTGGGATGCAAAATCGAGTCGAAATTTGGCTCCCATGATAATCTAGAACACTTCCTAGTGTTTGGACCATATCTAGAGATATACACATTGGATTACGATGATTCAAAAGTATATAGAAAGAAGACATCCATACCTATAATATTTATGAGATACTAAAACCAAAAGAGATCTCTATATGATCTAAAATCAGTCCAAAAAATATGGACATAAACAACCCATGTTCCCATAATCGTAGATAAGAGCTCTTTGGCGTTCCGGCCTAAAAAAAAAAAAAAGCCCCCCATAACATCTCTCTTTGACTAACTTTTCCTCTCTAATTGATAATATTGATTTTCTTCATCAGAGGTTGAAGAAAGTGATTCAAGCAATAAAAAAGAGACTTCAACTCATTGATGCTTTTAGTTAATTCCTAAGCTATTTTGGCAAGAAAGGTGAGTTTCGCCATTTTTATGTTACTTTTACATTTTTTTTAAAATAAAATGTATATATATGATTATGTTGGATAAATGAGTTATATATGGATAAAAATATGAGATAAATGAATAATGTATGATTGAAAATGTGAATTTTAAAGTATTTGAGATACACCATTGTGTATCAAACTCAAAAGGTTCGGAGACCCCGGTGCTCTTCATGTGAAATAAGATTGGTGTTCAATGCTTTGCAATGGAGTAGGAAGGACTTGATATGAGTTTTAATTTCAATGATTTATTTAGGATAAGTGTCGATCTCGGTGTGTGCATTTGAGAACGATATTGCTTTTATGATGTGATTTGACTTAAACATGATGTTCATGCCATGTTTGTTAGTGTTAAATTGAATCAAAGTTTTTGGTAACTTTTTATTTGTATGGATGAAGTTGTTAGTGGCTTCTCAATTATATGAACCGAAGTCATCAATGACTTTGTATTTGTATGGATAAAATCATTGATGTTTTTCTAATTATTACCATATTTGTTTGAGTTGAATTGAATCAAATTTTTTAATGGCTTCCTATTTGTATAGATGAAGTCATTGGTGACTTTTCAATTATGTGAATCAAAATTGTCAATAGTTTCTTATTTATATGGATGAATTCATCGGTGGCTTCTCAATTATTGTCATATTTATTTGTGTTAAACTGAATCAAAGTCATGTTTGTTAGTGGCTTCTTAACCATTACTATGTTTGTTTTTGTTGAATTTAATCAAAGTCATTGATGGCTTCCTATTTTTTCATATGAAGTCATTGATGACTTTCCAACTATATGAACCAAATTCAGCATCGACTTTCTATTTGTGTGGACAAAGTTATCAATGGTTTTTTTAATTATTGCCATGTTTTTTGTGTTGAATGAAACTAAAATCATCGGTAGCTTCCCATTTGCATGGATGACGTCATTGATGGTTTCTCAATTATTACCATATTTATTAGTTTTGAATTGAATCGAATCAAAGTCGTTGGTAGCTTCTTAATTATGTGAACTAAAGTTGTTGGTTGCTTCTTATTTGTGTGGACAAAGTTGTCGGTGGCTTTCTAATTATTATCATATTTGTTTATGTTAAATCAAATCAAATTTGTCGATGGATTCTTATTTGTATGGACAAAATCATTTATGGCTTCCCAATTATTTCCATGCTTATTTGTGTTGAATTGAACCAA